CTGCGGAGAACAAGGGAAAGGGAATTGTGAGCGGATTTGATACATATGTCATTTTCATGAGAGAGAGAAAGAGAATTTAATCAGAGGAGGAAAGAAATATACGGAAATTGAGAGAGAAGGAAAGGGAATTAGAAGATAGATATACAGATCGAAATAAAGGCAGAGAAAAAAGCGTTTGTGCGCGCATATATATATATATATATATATATATATATATATATATATATATATATATATATATACAGAGAGAGAGAGAGAGAGAGAGAGAGAGAGAGAGAGAGAGAGAGAGAGAGAGAGAGAGAGAGAGAGAGAGAGAGAGAGAGAGAGAAACACACATATATATATACATACATATATACCCTATACAGACTAAGACAAATAACCACGCGCGCGGGACCCCACTGGCAGGGGCGGAAGAGGCGCCTCCCCCAGATGTTCCCCGCCGCCCTCAGTCGCCAAATGTCACTTGAGATAATAATTGCCTCCGTGACAGGGTGGGCGAGGGAGGCGCGGGCGACGTGAGGAATGCCCATGAAATTGATTCTAATATTCTAATCTCTTCTGAAGATCCTTGGGTGGGAGAAAAAAAACGCTTATTTTCGAGGGGGGGGGAGTGGAGCTCAAGTTATCGTTCGACGGAAAGTTCGATGTGTGACTTAGGAGAGTGTTTTGTGTTTTATACTTCTCTTGTTGCCAGGCATTTTAGTCCCTCGTCAAGCCCATTTAAGGTCTGCATTTGGTATAATGTTACATTGTTACCGACTATCATGACGTCTGCTGTCTAACTCAATTTGGGTTCAATTTCTCTTGATCTTTGTCTATTTCCTTTTCGTTTTTCTTGATTTCTTTCTCTATTTTCTCTTTCATTTTCACTGGCATTCTTCTCTTATGTTCGTATTTTTTCCTTCTTCTACTTCTTTCTCTCTCATTCTCATTCTCTCTCTCTCTCTCTCTCTCTCGCTCTCTCCCTCTCTCCCTCTTCCTCTCTCTCTCTCTTCCTCTTCCTCTCTCTCTCTCTCTTCCTCTCCCTCCTCCCTCTCTCTCTCTTCCTCTCCCTCCTCTCTCTCTCTCTCTTCCACTCCCTCCTCCCTTTCTCTCTCTCTCTTTCTCTTCCTCTCCCTCCTCCCTTTCTCTCTCTCTCTCTCTCTCTCTTCCTCTCCCTCCCTCCCTTTCTCTCTCTCTATTTCTCTCTCTCTCTCTCTCTCTCTCTCTCTCTCTCTCTCTCTCTCTCTCTCTCTCTCTCTCTCTCTCTCTCTCTCTCTCTCTCTCTCTCCTTAACGCACACCACACACTGCATGCATAAACAAAACCAGTTACCATGACAAAGAAATCTAGGACAAACAACGCTACTGCAGTACTTCCAAGTACTGAGTTACTGAGTGGCATGTGTAAACCCTTAATAGGACGCCCTTAAGCGCGCTTCGCAGAGAGTTTTCCAGCTTTAGCAGTGTGAGTGTTGGCGGGAATACGCTGTCTGTCTGTCTGTCTATCTGTCTGTCTCTCTCCCTCCTCTCTCTCTCTTGTTCTATTTATATATACACACACGCGCGCGCGCGCGCACATACACAAAAACACACACACACAAACACACGTGTGTGTGTGTGTGTGTGTGTGTGTGTGTGTGTGTGTGTGTGTGTGTGTGTGTGTGAGAGAGAGAGAGAAAGAGAGAGAGAGGGAGAGGGAGAGGGAGAGGGAGAGGGAGAGGGAGAGGGAGGGAGGGAGAGAGGGGGGGATGGAGAGAGGAGAGAGGAGGGAGGGAGGAGAGAGGAGAGAGAGAGAGAGAGAGAGAGAGAGAGAGAGAGAGAGAGAGAGAGAGAGAGAGAGAGAGAGAGAGAGAGAGGCAAAACAGACGCAAATATGTAAAAGGAAAAAATCATTAGGGTTAAGCATACGGGACAACTTTCATTTCCTTGAAGTTACTGTTTACACAACGGTAAGGGTGACAATGCACTTTGAACCAATGAAAAAGAAAGCATGTAGAGATATTTTGATGATTAATCAGACGAAGACGAGAGATGACAAAGGTAATTGATGATGATGATGATGAAAGTGATTATGATGATGGCGATGATGATGATTATGATGATGATGATGATGATGATGATGATTATGATGGTGATGACGATGACGATGACGATGATGAAGTTGATAATGGTACTGCTACTACTACGGATGGTGATGATGACAACATTAATGATAATAACAACAACTACAACAAACAATAGTAACTTTGCTAAATAAGAATAACAACAACAAGAGCAGCTTACACTATCACCACCCAACAATAACAGAAAAAAAAAACACGAACAAAAAACATTCTGGATCTCATATCCAACTGCAACCCCCCCCCCCCCCCCCCCCCGTGCCCCGCAACACCACCGCATAAGCCACACAACAACCAATCAATCAGTGTGTCCGTGGCGAAGAACCAGGGTGAATGATTGGCTTTTGGTAAGGATGGAGGGGGGGGGGTGGAGGGGAAGTAAAGGAAAGGGGGAGGGGGTAAATGACTGAAAGGGAGGAGGGGGGGAGGGGGGTTATGGACTGCAGATCTCTTTCGCTTTGTTTTGTTTTGTGTTGTGGGTACGTGTGGTTATGTGTGGGTATGTGTGAGTGGGTATGTGCGAGTGGGTATGTCGTGTGGTACTCTTTCTCACTCTTGGAGGGGGGTGGGGGTGTTGCGGCGTGAGTAAGTGGGTTTGTGAATATGTGGATACAAGTGAGTAGTGGATAGCAACTGGATGACCAGTGATATCCATATTATTTGTATGTTTGTAATGTGGATAGGTGGATAAGTGAGTAGGTTTGTGAATACACGGATGTAAGTGGATAGTGTGTGGATAGCAACGGCTGATTTGCGATCCCATCCACTGTTTGTTTATGTTAATAAGTGGATATGAATGAATGATATGAATGAACGGATGAGTAAATGAGTGAATGGGTTGCTAATACAGGGCTGCTCCGTAACCAACATATTGTCCGTGCGTTTTTTAATAGATATGAATGAATGGGTGAGCAACTGAGTGAGTAAGTCAGTGAGTAACTTTATGAATATTTGAATGTCGGAATGTCTCCCACCTGTCTCCCTCCTCCCGCCTATACCGCCTTCCCCCGCCCTGTATATAAACATTTCTCACAAACTCACAGTGACTTGCTTGTCTGTGTCACGCGTGGGTCGCGCTCTCGTTCTGTTCGTTTTTTTTTGTGCCGCTAATGACCTGAGCTGTTGACGCGGCAGATCATTTTAAATAATCAATCTCTACTGTGTATCTATTTACCTGCTTAGTTACTTGCCGGCTTTATTTCTTCCCTGCTTATTTACCTGCCTCCTTAGGTTCCTACCTGCTCAGTTACTTATTTACGTCGTTGCTTAACTGCTTATTTATGTACCTGAATATTTTCTCTACTTCTTTATCTAGTTACTAAACTATTTACCTAAATCAACTGTCTGCTTAATAATTTACCTACCTGCTTGGTTTCCTTGCTTCCCTATCTACCTACTAAAATATTTACCTAATTCATCTGTCTGCTTAATAATTTACCTGCTTAATTACTCGCCTGTTGAATTATCCACACTCTCATTTGCCCCTTTAGTTCCTCGTCGACCTAGTTACGTTCCTGCTTTGGCCGCTTGTCTGCTTAACGACTGCTTAACTACTTGTCATTCGAAAGGTAGATGGCAGTAGAGAGAGGAAGCGAAGTGACCGAACACCCAACGACCCTTCGACTTATCCGTCTTAATCGAGCTTCTGAATCTACAATGTCCTGTTTCCGCCTCCCTCCCCCCATCCTCCTCCCTTTCCCCCACCCCTCCCTCCCCCTCCCATTCATTCCCATCCCCTACACATTACTGTTTCTCACCCTTAAGCTGATCTTCGTAATCCCGTGAATGGGATGTTCAATGCGCATGTTTCCCCCTTTAATTTTCCTTCTCCCCCCCCCCCCACACACACCTCTATAAAGTAGCCATTTCCTCTGTTCCTCATTTATCCCCCGACCCCTCCTTTCCCCCCCTTCTACACCTTACTCTCCCTTTCTCGCCCCCTACTATGCCCCTCTCCCTCCTCCCCCATCCCCACCCCTACTACACCACCCCTCCATCCCCCTTCCTCATAACCCCCCCCTCTCCCCACTCCCCCGAGACTTTCACACTCACGCCCTCACACGACCTCCGCTTCCTCATTAATGGGGCCATTAATCGCCTTGCCCCATTACCTTTGATGACCTATTAACCGTAGACAATAGTTCTCGTCTCGTCATTGTTGCAGTTCATGCTCATGTTGCAACTTATTCGCACGTAGCAACATGACGGAAGGAGAAGGAATCGACAGGAGGGGAAGAGGGCTAAATGAGTCTTACCCTAATTAAATAGCTGTTTAATGAGGCGTCTGATTAAGCGTGCTGTGACAATGATTAATTAGTCTTATCACGTAAATAACGAGGGGTGATTATGAGTGCTCTTGACTTTTGTATTCTCTGATCAAAGTCTTGGATAACTTGAAAAGAATAAATGGAATTAGGACAAAGAGAGAGGAGAGAGAGAGAGAGAGAGAGAGAGAGAGAGAGAGAGAGAGAGAGAGAGAGAGAGAGAGAGAGAGAGAGAGAGAGAAAAGCAGAGATAATTAAACCGTACAGACTCCGTAAAGTCAGTACAAAGATCCTATAGAATGCACAGTCATCCTTGACACTATGCCACAACAGTAGGTTGCTACAACGTGACAAGTAGAACACCAGCCGGCACGCTTTGACGGCACTCAGCCCCCCCACCCCCCACCCTTCCCCCTCTCCCCCTCCCTTCCCCCTCTCCCTGGCCCTCCTTCACAAAAAAACTACATCTAAACCTCTTACTATTTAGCCTTCATATTCGCGAACAATATAGCTAGGTTTCCTGCGCTAACGAGGTCACTGAACTATGATACAAAGCAAAGATTCAACAGAGGAACATAAGGTTTGATAATGCTTGGCTGCTAATTCGTATTCTGGATGTGTGTGTATAAACA